CCTTCTGCGTTTAGCATTGCGTGTTATTTTGCACGTCGGTGTAGGTTAACTTTTAACTTTGTTCTGTCGAATGCACGCAGTTTGATTTTCATTGTTATTTACTTACTTTTCAAGCGCGTTTTATTTTGTTGGGATGCTCATTGGCTGAGCACCTTGAGTTAGGGGCTTATTGAATGACTTTGTTTTGTTTAGCGGTCTGAGGCTTGCAGCGATGCAAATGTGCGTGATTCAGGATTGCTTGGCTACTAAATTGTAGTTTCGGGTCCTAATTTGAGCAATCCCCAGAAGCCGTCGATCGTCCAGAATCTGCCCATGGTCACATCGAGATCGCTCACGAAAACAAAAATTCTGATTGGTTTAGCAGTGTCATGCCTGTAAAGGGAGTGTCCGCATTGTTGTATTCCTCCCAGATTCGTTTGCTCGTGATGCTATTTGTTAGCCCACGTAATCTCGATGAAACAGTTTGGTGTCTGGCTGGTCTGGCGACTTGATCAGCATTTGGAGGGTGCTTGCTATGGCCGGAGTGGTTCGCCGTTGGTGTCGACTCCGTCTTTCCAGTGAGACACCTGCAGGCCTTTGGAATTCTCAACGGGTGGAGAGAGGCGGAACGGCTGACCGATGGTCAACCCAGCACCCTCCTTCCGAGCCGCGCTGATGGCTCAAAACTCTGGATGCATTGTCTGGCGGCGGGGGTGCTGTTGTGCCACAGACATGTTCCTTGTTCGGGAGCGCGTCTCGCAGGATCGAGCCCTGTTTCGACGTACTGTCTCCCCCCCTCCCAGCGCCGCCTTCCGTGCAGAAGAACCGTGCAGTCCGGGGATAACGTCGTTTCCTCCGCCGGACCACTTTGCAGTTCCGGGTATGGCTACGTCTCCCCCTCCGAGCCCGAGAACTGGTCTTAGAGAATGGACCAAAGACGCTATTTAAGGCCGAGCCGGCCCCATGTTAGAAGGATTTTGCCCCAGCCGACGTTGTCGTGCTGGCCGGCTCTGTAAAACGACAACCTGCGATAGTAAACGCTACTTTTGTTGCTGTTTTCCAAACGGATTGCCTCCCTGTTTCACCTTGGGGCTAAGGCTTCAGCGAAGCCCGCTCGACGGCCCACCGCTCTTCGCCACCGCTACCATCGCGACACAGCAAATTCATAACAGTGGTTGGCAGCTTCGGGATACGATATCCTACGTTTGGCACGCCGGATCAGACCCCCTGTCCTCAACGTTTTGCTGCTCTGGAGACCCGCTACCCCGATCTCAACGGCTGAAAAGTTGGAATCGGATCTCCGAGCACGAGGACGACCGCCGTATTAGCGTTTGGCTACGCTGCGGTACGCTACCCTGTTCTCATCGTTCTGGCCAAGCTGGGACAAGCAACCCCGGATCTCAACATTGGCAAGTTGGACCGGATCCCTGAAGGCCTGACACTGTTCGACGGCAGCAGCACGAGTTGGACCATTGTCGGCTACTTTGGTTGGGTGAGTGCCCAACGTTTACTGTTCATTTCGCCAGACCTCTCTAAGCACAGGCATAGATGTTAGGAGAGCATTTGTGTTTGATTGGTTGTAATTTATTATTCACGTGCTCTAAACCATGAGATTAGCTTTAGAGTACGGTGAATATCAATAGCAGAGCATCACGAGAAACGAGATCGCGATGGAGCAGTACCTGGTGCAGGACCTTCTCGAAATTTGTCGAGCCATGGGGATTTCCACCGGGTCCGCTAAAACAAGGGAAGCGATTCTCGAGGTGATGCGGCAGAGAATGTGACGGCTGAGGAAGCTGACGAGTTTTGGGAGCTCATCTGTGAGGAACAGCGGAAGGCCGAAGAAGCTCAAAGGCGCGAACAATGGAAGGCCGAGGAGAGCAGAAAAAGGAGAGAGCATGCTCTCAGAATGGAAGAGCTTGATCATAAAATTGAAGCGATTAAGTGGCAGCGAGCACAATACCGACTCAGGCCTTTCAGAAATGAACGAGAACATCGTGTCTTTTCTCGTTAGTTTTGAAAGGGTCTGCGACGATATTGGTGTTGGGCGAGACTTATGGTCGGAGAAGCTTGCCACGTTGCTTCCGTGCAAAGTCGCAAGCCTTTTGGAGCGCTTATCCGCCGAGGAAGCGCATGACTTTGATAGGGTTAAATACGCTTTGTTCCGCCACTTTGCTGCTATGAGTACGGCCGACTGTGAAAGTCGAGCATACAAGTACAGCGCTGAAGCGCGCAGCAAAGCGCTAGAAATTGAGAACCCATCGCAAATCGCAGGACGCCAACGTGCGTCAGAGAGAGCGAGATGAGGCGCGGCGTAAGGCGATGGAGTTGGAGGCGCGTGAAAACGAGGCTCGCCGAAGAGCGCTAGAACTAGAAGCGCATCGAGAAGCGCGTAAAGATAAGGCATGCCGAAAGCTATGGAGGCTGAGGCCCGTCGCGAAGCACAAGCCGCCGAAGTGCGCCAGAGAGAGCGTGACGCTGAGGTGCACCGCGAGGAGTTAGGGGCCGAGGCCCATCGCACGGCTAAGGACGCCGAGGCGCATCGCGAAGCGCTAGAGACGGAGCCTTCTTCACAGCACACATGATCCAGATGCATCGCATCAAAAGAGTTTGGACAAGTCGAGTCGTAAGGCGCTACAGGTTGACGCCTGTCGACAGAATATTGAGCAGGATGCGCGAGATAAAGCGCTACAGAATAAAGCTCTTAAAAGAGAGCACGAGGCTGACTTCGAAGGGCAGAGAACAAGGGCTAACCACGACAGCGATAAACCCCCACTGATCAAAAGCTCTTTAGGTGCGTTAGTTGCTTTTAAAGGCATCGGGACTCCCGTTCTGTACCAAGCAGAGGCAGCAAGCAACGGGCCCGAGGATAAGCTAGATAACCAGTGTGGAGCTTCGGGAGTACTTGTCAAAGGCAGCACACTTGGAAGTAAGTGTGTCGAGGCTGCCAGTATTGCGAGAAGTCCCGACAGAAAGAGGCGTCGGCGTAAGCGTAACGTGGTAAAGACGACGGGCGCAAAGAGTGTTAAACTGCTGTTAGGTGCCATGACATCATTCGTCGAGACGCCATGTTCACGGCTAGGCGTAGGATCGCGACAGGGCCCTCTGGGAAATGTTTGAAGCTCAGACCATCACGAGGATCGACATTAGGCGGGAAGCGCGTCAAGAAAAACCGACTTTCAGGAAATTCGGACGCCGAGATCTTCGCCTGGTCTCATCGATTTTGGTGCTGCGTAGAGGCAACCACGAGGGAAAGCATCGCGCACGCCTGAGTTGTAACAAAGGCGGTTGTTCCCCACCGTGGAGAAAGGGTTACTGGTCGAACGGGTGGCGTAAACGATGCAGTGCAGATGCCCCTTTCCTCGAGTTCAGCGGCTGCGGGTCAAAAGTCGCTGCTACTGAGTTCGGCGAACAGGTTGATGCGTCGTCCTTTTGTCCAGACCGCAACCCTCAGAAGCTGTGGAGTGCGCGACTCCCCAGAGTTCGCTTGAGAGAAAGCCGCCTCGCTAATACGAAAAGTGTATTTTTTGTATTTAATTTTGATAACAACTTTTTCTAGTTTTGTCTTCTGCCGACGAGCAAGAAATGAATCTAAATTTTTGTAAGTTTTACTTTTGTCGCAGAAGCAGATATTATTGATATGTTTGGTTCATTACTTTTGTTTTCCTTATAGCTCGAAAGGTAACAGTTGACGTGTTCTATTTTAACAGAGGAGGCATAGTAAAAGCCCCTGTTTAAGATACCTTCTGCGTTTAGCATTGCGTGTTATTTTGCACGTCGGTGTAGGTTAACTTTTAACTTTGTTCTGTCGAATGCACGCAAGTTTGATTTTCATTGTTATTTACTTACTTTTTCAAGCGCGTTTTATTTTGTTGGGATGCTCATTGGCTGAGCACCTTGAGTTAGGGCTTATTGAATGACTTTGTTTTGTTTAGCGGTCTGATGCTTGCAGGCGATGCAAATGTGCGTGATTCAGGATTGCTTGGCGTACTAAATTGTAGTTTCGGTCCTAATTTGAGCAATCCCCAGAAGCCTCGATCGTCCAGAATCTGCCCAGGGTCACAATCGAGAATCGCTCACGAAAACAAAAATTCTGATTGGTTTAGCAGTGTCATGCACTGTAAAGGAGTGTCCGCATTGTGTATTCCTCCCGAGATTCGTTGCTCGTGATGCTATTTGTTAGCCCAGCGTAATCTCGAGGAAACATTTGGTGTCTGCTGGTCTGGCGACTTGATCAGCATTTGGAGGGTGCTTGCTATGGCCGGAGTGGTTCGCCTTTGTGTTCGACTCCGTCGTTCCAGTGAACACCTGCAGGCCTTTGGAAGTCTCAACGGGTGGAGAGAGCGGAACGGCTACCGATGGTCAACCAGCATCCCTCCTTCCGAGCCGCGCTGATGGCTCAAAACTCTGGATGCATTGTCTGGCGGCGGGGGTGCTGTTGTGCCACAGACATGTTCCTTGTTCGGGAGCGCGTCTCGCAGGATCGAGCCCTGTTTCGACGTACTGTCTCCCCCCCTCCCAGCGCCGCCTTCCGTGCAGAAGAACCGTGCAGTCCGGGGATAACGTCGTTTCCTCCGCCGGACCACTTTGCAGTTCCGGGTACGGCTACGTCTCCCCCTCCGAGCCCGAGAACTGGTCTTAGAGAATGGACCAAAGACGCTATTTAAGGCCGAGCCGGCCCCATGTTAGAAGGATTTTGCCCCAGCCGACGTTGTCGTGCTGGCCGGCTCTGTAAAACGACAACCTGCGATAGTAAACGCTACTTTTGTTGCTGTTTTCCAAACGGATTGCCTCCCTGTTTCACCTTGGGGCTAAGGCTTCAGCGAAGCCCGCTCAACTGCTCGCCGCTCTTCGCCACCGCTACCATCGCGACAGAGCAAATTCATAACAGCATGTTACAGAACCACAGATGCTCGAAATTTCCAGCTCTCTAGTGCAGCATCTCACATAATCATATCAGGGTTTAGGGACATTAAACCCCAAGTTTATATTATCAGAAGGTAAGCAAAATTTGTGCACACCTTCTGCTGCGCAGCACTGGCCTGTGTCAGCTGTTGCTCCAGCAGTGTGTTGCGTTCCGCCAGGGTCTGCCTGTCTTCTTCCGCCCTGGAGAGGAGCTGCCGCAATTCGTTGACGACGCCTATCTGGCTTTCCCTACGACAAGGATAAATTGACACAGAAGCAAACACTGCTTGGACACAGAAACCGTGAAAGAATCCTCAAATATAGCTTCTCGTAGTTTGATAGGTAAACAAATACGGCACTTTCGTACTTTTCTACACTTTCTGAGGATACTTGCACTTTTGCCCAATGTCACAGGTGTCCATACACACTTCACTGGAGTAACAAGTTTTCTGCATGCTCTCTGAGCCAGTCAACGTATATTAATGTACCCAGACCAACCCAGAATAAGACTCCTCGTTATATTGCAAAGTCATCGTGCTTCTACTCATGATGTGACCTGATTTAGCAGCATACTATAGTCCATTGAGCTAACTTTATGAGTGACAAAATGGTCAAGTGTTTTACTTTCACATGACACGACGACACCTCCCAAAAATCTAAATCGCAGCTGGTTTTCAGAAAAACCATAGCACCAAACTAAATTCAGAGTCCTAACTGGTACATTTTAAACTATTTTGAAATCACCAACAATCGCTCAATTTGATGAAACGAGAAGTCATAAATGGGACGTCAGCACTGCGTTAAGCATACGTGTAAAGAAACATAGAAAGTGTCGCAAAGTGAGACAACGTACATTTCGCGCCGCAGTTCTTCCACAGCATGGGCTTCTTTCTCTTTGGTCTCCGTGATTTGACGCGCAAGGTCTTCGCGGTGAGTGTCAAACTCAGCCTTAAGACGTTCCATCTCGGCCCGTGCATTTACCAGCTGGCGTTCACGCTCGGAGGCCTCCGAATCCAGGTCCTGGCTCTGGGCGTCACGCAGACGCCGCTCTTCGGCTAGAAGTTCTCGTGTCTGCGTCCAACCAGACTTCCACCGTTACTACCATTTTCCTGAGCTTTTCAAAAGACACTGCGCCTAACATGACCAGTGCTGCCATGGTTATCATTAGGAAAGTTATTCAAGTATCTAAACATTTTTAATGATGAGACACGATGCCCCCGAGCACTGTTTTGATGCAAAGTTTTCACAAAATGTAATGCAATACATAAACGTCAGACGTAACAGCCGGCATTTACAAAATCTCTACGTAATCAGGTCTTATTGCCATCAATTCCATGCCTTAAAGTGCTGTTTGCTGTGATGTAACTGTATGGGCCAAGATTGCACTGACGTGACTCAGAATAAAGATGGTGGAAACAAAAACATGTATGTTGCTTAGCTAGAATGACACATTTCATTCCGTGAGCACTGTACAAAAAAGCTGTTTCCAACAATTATGCAATGAATTGATTATTGCCTTATTTTATTATCTGTCAAATTTAACAGTCGCTACAAAATTCATAAACATGAATAGTCTTCCAAGAGTTTAGGGCTATGCAACATATCATAAACTTAAATCAGCATGCCAGGCTTTTCATACTAGGCTACAGCTGTGCAAACTCAACTAAGAGTTCTGGTTATGTGAACTAACAAAGTATTTATGCCTAGCAATAGTTGTGCATTTAAAGGTCAAAGTTTTATAATACCAAGAACTCCATCAGAAAGGGCATATTTTACTAGGATATAAACAGCACTTTCGAAACACACTGAATATTGTTGATTTTTTTTTTTTCTCTTCTGAGAACTATATTTGAAAATTATTCAATATTCGATTATGTCTGCTTTGTACACTATTTGGCTCACATTCAATTCAGCATCAAAGGATGACTATCGCACAATGCTACACAATAAGTGTATGGCTGACAAAACAAAAAATGCGTTCTTCCCAGTGATCTTCATTTTCCCCTTGCATTAGCACGTCAGTCTAAGCGTTACCCTCACCTGTTCAAGCTCCTGGCTGAGCCTTTGGGCCTGTAGCTCTGCAGCAGCCAGCTTGTCCTGCCACGACCGCACCTGGCTCTCCAGCTTCACCTGGGCCTCATTGCTGGACTTCTCCAGAGTACGGCACTGCTGCACCCGCTCCTCCAATCTGTCCTCCTGCTCAGCAAGGTTTAAAAATAGAGGAAGTCAAGAAGGGGACAAACTGTCAAGAAAAACGGTATTGCGAGACTCTTTAAGTGTCACCAAGCCTGCCAGTGTCGGAACATGACAGTTGAAGCCAGATTGCACCAAAATATGGCAAAAGAAAATACTCAATGCTTTTATTAGCAGAATTTAACAGTAATCTCGGAGTGCAATTTCATGTGCCACATAGGCTTTGAAGTGGGGCTCCGTGAGTGCACATTTATATCTCTAAGCTTTGAGGAAATGTCTTGTGACCATGACTGAAGTGAATGTAGGATTGAAAGAGTCCTGTCTTCTGCTGCAAATTCCTCTCCAAGCCTTTTCAACATTGCTATTTGTCTGCCGCCACTGATTAAGTTTTCCAAGATAAACTGTGAAAATTACTCTTAAAATAACCGCTCTTGTTTCTTTCAAAGTATACCTGACCACAGTGCGAAAGGTATATACTTCAAAATCTATTAGCAACAACAGTGTAAAAAGTGCAGTTTTTTTATACCAACTGTAGGGCTGTACGAATAGCAAAATTATGGGTGCGCAGTGAATTCAAATACAGTCGAGCCCACAAATAACGGCCCCACTTTAGACGAACTTTCATTTAAAGAGAACAATATCCATGTGACCGTGAAAATATACATTGTTTCAATGACACAAAATCGCACTTACAACGAATGTCTCCGAGCACCGCCGATCGGTTACAACGAACGGAGGCGGCGCTCTGCCAACTTTCCGGGAAGCCACTTTCGACCACGGAACGGGCATCAGCGAGGCGCCCATACATTCTTGATGTTAAACGCCGACCCTGCCTCCGCGTACCCTAGTTGCCGCTCTCCCCAACCATTTTTTCGTGACTGTGAAAATATACGTTGTGTCAATGACACAAAATCGCACCTACAACGAATGTCTCCGAGCGCCGCCGATCGGTTACAACGAACGGAGTCTGCGCTCTGCCGACTTCCCGGGAAACCACTTTCGACCACCGATCGGGCATCAGCGAGGTGCCCGTAGATTCTTGGTGTTAAACGCCGACCCTGCCTCCGCGTACCCTAGTTGCCGCTCTCTCCAACAATTTTTTCGTTACGCACCCCTCCGTCCTTTGTCCCCTCTGCTACTCTGAGCACCCTACATTGCCAGACGCGGCCCGTGTTATCACAGTCACCGATCTTTTGAAGACCAGTCGGCCAGCTCCCATGTTTCCAATCGCTGGTACTGTCGTTAGTGTCGCCGGCCTGGAGTGACCTGACCATTTTCCAACATCGTCTGCATCTGATCGTCTGCGTCTTGTCTTATCATATCGTTCTAGTGCATGCGCGTACACTACCCCAACCACTCTGATAATTGGCAATTCGTTTCGTGTTTAGAACCTGTTCTCGCTCTCTTTGCACTTGACTCAACATGCCCTCCGCACGCGTGTAGAAGCGTAAAAACGGCTGTTAATTTGGGGGGAATGAATCGCGAAATATCGAAGTCGGTGAGGCCACCCAAACTCGCCTGCGCAACAAAACTATTCTTTGACCACGGCCGCTGATTCTTTGAACACCGCTGCGCACGCCCAGACGGCCGTGCTTTGCACGTGCAGGCCCTCTTTCAAGTTTTTCTACGCGAGAGTTGCGCATTTTGCGGACCTTTCAAGCAAACTACCCAACCTGCCTCCTTCCTGCGTGTTTTGATTTTCAAGGTCGCTTTCCCACCATATCCTCCCCTCTCTTCACCCAATCGCAACTCCTTGCCCTTCTCTCGGCTCTCCTCTTTTGATCACAACTCCATCGCCCGTCTCCACAGCTCTGCGATGCCAGCCACGCTGGCTCAAATTCAGAAGTTTTGTTTTCTGACTAGAAACAGGCCCAAAGCTGTACCACGCGTTCTGGCATGTGTGTCGCGTGTGCACGTCTTGCTCGCTCTCGGTCTGCATATGTGGTCAGGATGCGGACGGGAGGCTTTGCACGCTTTTTCCTGCCGCTCAACAAAACTTCGAAAAAGTTACCGCTTTGCTTGGGCCTAATCCGCGCGTTAGGTGCCGCATCGCGGAGTGTTTGCTCATAGACGTCAGACTCTCGAGTTTTGGGGATATGCAGCGTCATCTGTCGACACAGTTTTAAGTAGTGCAAAGCCAGACTACTTTGCACAGTTTGCTGTGCAACCGGGTGCAACTACAGCGGACGAGACGATTGAGCTAAATATTGGGCGTCTTTGCGTATTGAACACTTATAAAAAGAACTACGAGTTTAGTCATGACACGACACATCGTTTGCTGCAGCATGTGACAAATAATTAATTACAGGCCCCTCATTATCAATTAGTTTCAATTTCGGTTTGATGGAGTTCCAAAAACTCGGTGCAACTGTCGCCACCTAGCATGTGCAGCTCTTGACCACGTCAGCACACAGAACTGGGGCGCATTTCTGCATGGTCCACATCAAGAATTACCTTCGAATAGGAAACAGAACTGGAATGTCGCCAAACACAAAGCATGCGCAACGGCCACGCACTCACAACCAGCTGCCGAGAAATATAGATTTCGGGAACTAACGCTGCAAAAGAAAATTGGCGGCTATGACGTCATCATAGCTTGCTTTGTTGACCGCAGCGTGGTGACGTGAGGGAAGTAGGGGGTCACCTCGGAGTCACCTCCGAGGGTGTCTATAGCGCTATGGAGTCGGTCGTGCAAGCAAACTTCAAAATTAACTTAAAACACCTTCCAAGCTATATTCGCTGTTGATATCTCGCAGATGATATATGAATGTTCACGAGAATCGATCCCGCAGGCTATCTCAGCCCCGAAATTTTGTGTCAGTACCCCTTTAACAGAGCCTCTGACCGCAGTGCTAGTCGTGCAGCTGTAGACAGGTAATGTGCGCGATAAGCATCGCACATGCCGCGACCACCGATAATCTGAAGTTGCACACCATTGCGCCCTAGTGCTTTGAAGGCTCTAAGTTCCAGTTTTAATTAGGCAATGTGAATGCATACGCCATACAGGCAAATTGCAAAATGATCGTGACCACAATCAGTGTCTTTTTTTTTTTGCCGTTCTTCTCCGTGATTACTGGAGCTCAGTTTTGCCTTCCGTCATACACCGAGAAAGTGCACATGCATGTATACAAACGGGTGACAACCACCAACAGAACATTCTAGCTCTAGCGTGCATAATAAAACAGTTCAACGCACAGGAAGCGAGAGATCGATGAATAATGCAACTGCAAAAGCGCAAATCGCCAGGGCTATTCACGTCAAATAAAGCGAGCTTCGTATCATTGATCGTCAAATAGATTGCTCGTGTATGCACTTCATTGCTTTGACATTATGTGTGTGCCCAAACTCAAAGCACTAGGCGTTACATAACGAACGTCAGAGTGCTTGCCTCGAAATTGATGTCACACGATGCTCGCTTGCACTTAACGTGCCAGTTGCAGTACGCCGAAATAACTGAAACAACTTTCGCATTGTACCCGCTGTTCGTTTTGATAAGCTTCCTACTTTTCTGAAGCGAGGTTGGATTGAAAGAACAAGCTTGCCAGGCCCTTGATTTTCAGAAAACCGCACCTCAAGACCAACAAAAAAGGAGGGCCTACACGTTTGCTTGCAGACGGCTCGCTTTGCACTACCCATTTATGGCCGGCGTGTCGATGAGGGCACTGGTAGCGGCGTTTTTCACAGCGCCACCTGGGCAGAGTCTATAGCTGTTCACTACCTGGCAGCCAACTTGCCGCTTCGGGCGTCCCAGTATTCAGCTATGCAAATGGTGAATATTTCGTGGGCGGTGGTGACGGCTACATGCGCGCGAAACTGTTTTCATGAGGCCGACTTCGTCGATGTCTGGCTCGATGCCGAGCCTGAAGCTTCTAAACAGGACCACTGCGGCAGCGATTTGTGGCAGCGCGTCATCGACTCCGACATGGGAGAGCGGGTGGGACATCTGTTGCAATGGTTTCTGTAGTAGCCAACGTATGATGCGCCGTACTGACGTCACAGGCTACGTCATGTGCCTGTACTTATATTGGCATGCGAGCCGCTTGCTTATGACATTAAACCTTCGCCACCAACTGAGTCCAGCGTCGCCTTGCTCGCCGGCTACAACAGATGGCGACGAGGATGGGATAGGCTGCACCGAACGACGGGGGCGGATCCTGTGAGCAATGACAGCTGGAAGGCGAAAGGCAAGGTATGGCGAAGATGTGGGAATTTGACGCCTTCATAGAAGAAGGAGACGAAGATTTCGCATCGTATGTAGAACGGTTTGGGCACTATTGCAAAGTAGCCGGCGTACAAGACGAAGAACTTAAAAAGTCAGCCTTCATCTCTGCCATAGGAACGAAAGCGTACAAGACGCTCAAGGACCTTCTTCTACCTGCAAAACCTGAAGAGAAGACATTCGAGGACTTGGTGAAAGTGCTGAGTGGCCACTACGAGCCTTCAAGTCATTGCAGAGCGTTTCGAATTCAACAGGAGGTACCAAGGAGAAAGGGAGTCCGTCGCGGCATTTGCAGTCACGCTGAAGCACATGGCAGCCAAGTGCAACTACGGTACGTTTCTCGACGACGCTTTACGGGACCGGTTCGTCGCTGGGTTACGGAATTCCACCATTCAGACGGGTTTACTGAAGAGGAAGGAACTGACGTTTGAATCGGCCTGCGTTTTTGCTAAGAGCGTTGAGCTAGCGGAGCGGGAGTCGAGGGGATTCCGACCAACTGCGAATACGGATGCCAACATCCACGCTCTAAAGAAGACGGGGAAGGAACCGGAGTTTGCCAGCAAGCCGAAGAACAGTTCAATGCAAAGCTGCTATCGATGCGGTCAAGAGCATGACGCCCGTTGCTGCCGTTATCCTAAATTCAAATGCCATCTTTGCAAGCACGTGGGACATTTGGCGCGCATGTGCAGATGCAAGCAACCGGCGCCTGGCACCCTCCACAACGTGAGTGACGAAGCGAGCGGAGGCACAGAGCTGCTGCTGCACGGTGTGTATCTGGTGGGTACGGAACAACCATATGAAGTTGAAGTACAGATAGCCGGCCAGCTTGTGACGATGCAAGCAGATATGGGCGAGGCCGTATCACTCGTTCCGGAATGCGTTTACCGACAGCTAAAGCAGCCGTTGCAGCTTGCGAAGTGTGAGATGAAGCTCAAGTCTTACGGCGGAGCGACGCTACAAGTGAAAGGCCAAGCGAAGGTTTTGGTTGATTATAAGGGACAGCGGAAAGTCCTGCCAATCATCGTAGTACCAGGAGAGAAGCCAGCACTCCTAGGCCGCGACTGGATTGCGAACCTTGGAATGGACCTAAACAGCATTCACGAGGTGCACGCACAACCGTCTGTCGACAGCATCCTGTCAAGGTATGCCAGCGTTTTTTCACCTGGTTTAGGGTTGATAAAGGGTTACCAAGCAAAACTGGTGCTTAAGGAAGGAAGCATGCCAGTCTTTTGCAAGGCACGGTCTGTACCGTATGCCATTCGTGAACCTGTTGAGCATGAGCTAGGCAACTTGCAAAAAGAGGGCGTACTGGTGCCCGTAACCCGCAGCGACTGGGCCACGCTGCTGGTAGCTGTTCACAAGCCAGACGGCACAGTACGATTGTGTGGAGACTATAAATTGACGGTGAATCCATGTGTGAAGACCGACCATTACCCACTGCCCGCGGTGGAGGATTTGTTCACGACACTGGCTGGGGGCAAGGTTTTCACCGTTCTGGACCTTTCGACGGCATATCAGCAAATCGAGGTGCACCCTGACTCGCGACCCTTGCTGACTATAAACTCTCACATGGGGTTGTTCCAGTATGTTCGAATGCCGTACGGAATCTCAAGTGCACCTGCAGTTTTCCAGGCAATCATGAACGAGCTGTTGAAAGGACTACCGGGAGTGGTATGCTACCTCGACGACGTCCTCATCACGGGAGCATCGCATACCGAATGCCTGGCCCTTGTGGAAGCAGTCCTGCAGGTTTTCAGGGACCACGGCGTAAAAGTAAGAAAGGAAAAATGCAAGTTTTTCTTGAATTCTGTCAAATATCTTGGGCATATCATTGACGAAAATGGTGTGCACCCGTGCGTCGAGATGGTTGAAGCCATAAGGGAAGCACCCACACCTAAGAACATCAGTGAGCTTAAAGCGTACCTCGGCATGATAACTTTTTACTCCAAGTTCATGCCAAACATGTCTTCGAAGCTAAAGCCTTCATACGCACTGCTTCAGAAGGATAAGAAGTGGGTCTGGTCCGCAAAAGAAGAAAAAGCCTTTGCGGAGAGTAAGAGCCTCCTTACGCAAGCGAGCGTGCTAACATTCTATGACCCAAAGAAGCCTCTTGGATTAGTCTGCGACGCCTCTCCTTACGGGGTTGGCGCAGTGTTGTTTCATGTCGTGAACGGGGAAGAAAGGCCGATAGCTTATGCGTCACGCACTTTGAGCAAGGCCGAAAGTGGCTACGCACACATAGAAAAGGAAGCGTTGGCTGTGATTTTCGGAATCAAACGTTTTCACAAGTATCTTTACGGCCGTGAATTCACCATTTATTCCGATCACCTTCCCCTGGAGGGACTGCTGGGGCAAACAAAGCCAATTCAGCAAATGACAGCAGCACGCATGCAGCGCTGGATGCTAGTGCTAGCTGCATATCGCTACAAATGGGTGTACAGAAAGGGAGCCCAAGTAGCAAACGCGGACGCGTTATCGCGATTACCGCTTCCGAACGACACCGACGAAAGCGACTACGTTCACTTCTTTTTAGCAGTAGAAACCCTACCACTATCTGTGAAAAGGATCAGTGACGAAACCCAAAAAGACCCAGTTTTGTCTAAGGTGCTGATGTATGTTTTGAATGGATGGCCATCGTACGTGTCAGAAGACAACGTAGCCCCATTCTTCTCGCGGAAAGACGAACTGTCGGTAGACTGTGGTTGCATAACATGGGAAACTCGGGTCGTTATACCTGAAGCTGTACAATCTGAAGTCTTATCGCTTTTGCATGAAGGGCATACAGGCATCACTCGCATGAAAATGCTATCAAGAAGCCATGTGTGGTGGCCAAAGTTGTGCGACCGCATTGAAGAAACTGTAACAGGTTGTTCAACTTGCCAACAAGGCAGAACTCTGCGCCCCACGTGCCGATGTTATCGTGGGGATAGCCAACCCGCAGGTGGCAGAGAGTTCACCTGGATTTTGCCTACTACAAGAACGACTGGTTTTTAGTGCTTGTCGATGCGCACTCCAAGTGGGTGGATGTTCTGCACATGAAGTCCACTACAGCACAGGCGACAGTGAACTCCGCACTGTTTTTGCTGCATTTGGGCTTCCCGAAAGAATTGTGACTGACAATGGGCCGCAATTTGTGTCTGCTGAATTCACAAATTTTCTCAACTCCAATGCAGTGCAGCACACCAAGACACCACCTTACCACCCAGCTTCAAGTGGCACGGCGGAGAGGCTTGTCCAGACCGTCAAGCGAAGCTTCATCAAACAGCTACGGGACGAGCAGAACACGGGAGTGACTCGGACGATGCAACATCGGGTAAACCAGTTCCTGTTCACCTACTGAAACACACCGTGTTCGACGACCGGTAAGACGCCAGCCGAACTGTTTCTCTCATGGAGGCCACGCACGAGGCTGAGCATCTTGCATCCGGAGCTAGCGAAACGTGCCGAAGCAAATATAACTCGAAGACAGGGTCAGGAAACCCATACTTCATGGAGGGAGTTTGAGGTTGGCGACAACGTTCGTGTGCGAGGAAACCGACCGAGTGATCCACGTTGGTTGGAAGGAACAGTTGTGCGACGAGTTAGCAAAGGAACATACATAGTCCAAATCGAAGACCACGAGCGCTTTCTACATGCGGACGATATTGTTCCTAACACATGCCTTGCTCCTCTTCCCAGAAGCGTGTGGATTCCTGAACAAACCCGCATGGCACAGACGGGTTCCACTCCATCCCAAAGCGACAGCGACACCGCATCGCCGCCGGACGGGCCTGCACCAGAGCAAGGACTTCCGCCACCTGACCGAGCCAGCGTGACGGAACTGCCATCACAGCAGGCGCCTGACGCCAGCTCCCAAGAAAACGTCGTGCCACCTGAATTGCGACGAAGCACAAGAATTCCAAAGCCTCCTGAACGTTTTGGCTATGCTGCTAAATAAAGGGGGAAGAGACGTAGTAGCCAACGTATGACGCGCCGTACTGACGTCACAGGCTACGTCATGTGCCTGTACTTATATTGGCATGCGAGCCGCTTGCTTATGACATTAAAACTTCGCCACCAACTGAGTCCAGCGTCGCCTTGCTCGCCGGCTACAACAGTTTCATTACGACCAATGATGATGATGCCGACACTGCAGAACCGTGCACGGATAAGGGCATTGTGAATGAAGTACACGACAAGAGCGTTTTTGGAGGAATCGGATTGCGAGAACGACAAAATTTTGGAGCCAGTGCCTCATGCAGCTTATGCCACGGGCCTCGGCGAAGAGCACGCTGCCGTTTGAAATAAACTCAGGACCGCCTTTATCGCTTCTGCTTTTCGAAACACAGGCATCACGGACATTTTCGGGCAAAAAATTTTATGTTTTCACTTGCAACTTCTTTAAAAGCTGGGTTTCATTTAGTACGAACTTCGGGATACAGCGAACGGATGCCGCATCAGGCTCAGGTTCGTAATATAAGCGGGCTCGACTGTATTCAAGTTCGAGTGCGAATAGAATCGAATACTTTTTGAATAGTTGTCGAACATATGCTTAACACTTTCCGAATACTTCAAAATGAAAACTACAGAAAAAACGTTACAGGGGATCCCTAAGCACATAGATATGAGATGGGAACATGAAAGTGTTTATTTTGGATAACTTCGTGAACAGCTGTAGGGATAGTGTTCATTAGCTATTTTATCAAGGGTGAGGCGATGCATAGGCAGAATTGTATTCATTTACATCATTTGGAGCAACAAATGTGGTGTCAACACTTTAACCATTGAAGGAAAAGACTGTTTCCCCCACATCTCCTCTCTTTAATATTCCATGGAGGCCCAACTAATTTGACAGACAAGAATGCACTCCCTTCGAATTCAGATTTGCTAATCTGCCCTGTAAACATCAGTGTATAAAAAACACCTGAAATGACGTATGCTGAAAATGCTTCATCGTTTTTTTTTTTTTTACTTCTTTGTCTAAAACAGCGTTAACTAAGGCCCCCACCAATGCTGCGTAGGTTCGAACCAGCGCTTCCGCAAGTAGATGTGTTTACGATCGTAGCGGAGGTTAGAAGACAGCCTTGCCGCGATACCACATTGTAGTGTGGTGAAGCATATTAAAAAAAACAAGAAGGGGTTACTGTAATGGCACAGTGCATCTCTGTTTTCTCGAGTTACTACATTGACTACCATATCAGGGTTTCAAAGGCAGCTTCGCCGCAATATAATAATGTGATGGGATGAAACATATAAAAAACCTGAATGGGCCACTGCCAATCAGACGTCAACAGCATTTATCTTCGAGAAGTTTTAATAGTCAAAATTTCATTGCCAATCGAAACACTATTCGAATAACAGTTGAAAGTTCGAATATTCACATATCCCTGATCAATTCTAAGAACACAATCTCACCAGGTCGGCCAGCCTTTGCTGCAAGGAGGCAATCTCATGGTTATGGTCAGCCGTGGTGCGCTCGACCTGCGGCTTGGTGCCTCTCGGTGAGCTGGGCCACCTCCTGCCGGGCCTTGTCGCCTTCCTGAGACAGGGTGCGCACCTGGGCCTCCAGGCTTTCCACTAGCCTGCAGCACACATACACACCCGCTTTCAGCACGCAAGGCAAGACATACAATGTGCGCCAATACAGCTTGTAGCTTTCTCTTACATACGACCATATCAACGGTAACTGCTAAAGTAACTAAAGTTTTTATTGACCAATATGATGAAAGGAAAGCCACTATGATGGTCTATTTAATGGTCTTTTGATGGTGTTAGCCGTAAATGAAGCTTTACTTGGAAGCTAACAGAATAGTTACGCACAATACAGGCCTCTTTTTTGCTAGTTGCACAGATTTCGTGCAAAAGAGGGAGCGGCCACTCGCCTCTCCTTCTCCTGCAACCGGCTGTTGAGCTCTTCAACCTGGCTGGAGCCTCCGCTGGCAGCCAATCGGACTGTGCCCAGCTCTTCCTCCAAGGCAAGCTTCTGGGCCTGCAGCTGCTTGCACTGCTCCTCCAGCGAGGAGACTAGCCGCTGCTGGTCTGTGCATGATGCAATGACAACAGTTCGCCGTCAGAACAGACAGCCACGCTGGAAGATGTGGTGCACGTACACAAAACTGCTATGAAGATTGTACTAGGACGAAAAAACTGTGAGCAGCGAGGAACACAAGCGAATTTCCTCACGAGACACGGCGCAGAAAGTATGGCCACACTTGCCACATTGTGGAAAGCCAATTTGTAAAGTATCCTCCCTTTTATTTCATGATGCAAGATCTCTTCTCCTCTTTACATATGTCATTTTTTTTTTCAATGTGACATACTAGTATAGAAGAGTAGAGTTAATTCTCTTGCGCTATATACTTTATCTATTTACGTAATGTGCCATAAAACAAACCATTTAATTAATTTACCACGGATGCATGACAACTGTTATCCACAGTTGTGAAACTGGAAGAGATGCCCTATACTACAATGAAGTCATGTTTGTAAATTAAAAAATGAAATGAATGAGTCACTTCTCACGAATGACAGTCAGGAAAATCAAGCACACTCCTTGCAGCGCTAAGCTATGGTACCCTACAGAGTCACTATACATGACAAGCCTATATTATCGAGCAGACCGAGTTCCATCGAGCTCTCTCCCATGCACAGCTAATCGACTAAGTGATAGCAGCACGCAAGTACAGCCCCACTAAGCAAGTACAACACACAAGTACAACATACAGCGCCGCCACACTGCAACCTTCACATGGCCTCGATAAAAAAAAAAATTTCCCTTATTTCTTTTTACTCATCTACAAAACTAGGTTGTATGACATATTCCTATATATCCAATTATATAAATTCAAAATGCACGTGTTTCTTACAAACCAATAACAGCAAAAAGACGTTGCATATTTACTTCATTATATCCAATACTTACATATATATTTGAAGTTGTCACTGTGGTTACACTATAGCGTGAACATGCATTTTCAAAATGATTTAGTATTACAAGACACACATACGTACCCGCAGCATCACTTTTGATTATCTGGGATTCCTCACTCAAGAAGTCATAGTCTGTCTGAATCTTTGCTAGCCTGCTGTTCAGATCTGAAAAGGCACAGGCAAATCAAAACACTCGAAGAGCTGCAAGCTACAAGTGAGTATAGTATTACGAATAGGTTACCAAATACATCAACACTGGGCAACTAACCTTTAGGCATATTAATCATAAAGTAATTAAACGTTAACAATTTCAAATGCTACAGAATGACCTAATTCTAAGCTAAAAAGACTATAAATGATTGTGGCACATGTTTCGGCCTTTTTTCCTCGTTATGTTGTTCTCATTGTTCACAATGCCATCCACAACAAAATATAAGCCCTTTTGCATAAACTTAGGATACTTATCTACCAATGCAATTCTATCGTTCACGCACTTCATGACCACAATTATAGACAGTTCAATGCACATTTTCATAGAATATTTTTTTCGAAAGTGTAAACCACGTCTTTTTCAGCAATCGCGGCAATGGCCATGCACACCTTCGATGACCTGCTGCTGGTTCTCATTCTTCTCCTTCAAAGCCTCCAGGTTTTCCTCCTGAAACAAGAAAAAAAATTAAAAATCGATCGACTGGTCTCATGGCAGTAATTCACATGACTGACTCTCACGAATAACTCTCTCCAAAGTTTCCCACTTACTCAGTATTGCCGACATTAAACACCACTCACAAGCAAGGCCATAGAACAAACTCATAAATGAAGCCAAACTTGCAAAATGTAGATGAAAGACACCATAAAAGTTAGCTATACATCACAGCATGTTCAGACAATCAGTACAAGTGTGCTAAAGCACCTGCTGTGGTTTTTTTTTCACCAAGGATCAGCATGGTGTGGTGTGCAATTTGAAATACAATTTGCCAAAACTGTTGCTTGGGTGAGTTGGTTCAGGATAAAGATAGCGCTGTGTGTAGTCCTTCTCAAGTGTTTCATCTTCGCACGCTGGTAAATCCATCTTGGAGATATAGTACATAGTTTTTAAAAACATAGCAAGTAAGCCCTATACATATCATTGCATTACAAGGACTTTTAATTTGGCTCTTTCACATCTTCAATAAAATTAGGCTGGGTCAAACAAGGCCTAATTACCTAACAGAGATTAGGTCCACCCAACAAAAGAAGCAGGCATTGTTTGATGCAATATCAAAAGGAGCTTACGACGACCAAATCAGAAGCAAAAAAAGGTGTTTGTAGCCACCAGAAGCTTGTATCTATTGCAGTTAAACAATGGGTACCTGATGAAACAGAAAGAAAATCAAGGATGGCAAAAAAAAAAAGAAATAAAGCACAGTAATAAAACTTAAAAACTTACACAGAAGCAGCTTGCTTGAGAAATATGTTAATTGGAGACTAAGAAACGCCTTTAGATTTCATAAAAATAGGCCAAGGATGATGGAACTTGATGGAACTTGATAGAACTCACGAGCTCAACTGCCTTGTCCCTTAGACCGAGCAGTTCCTTGGATTTCTGCTCTAGGGAGGCCTCTAGCCGAAGAAGTGCCTCGTCCCGTGAGATGAGGTCTTCCCGCAGCTTGGCTATTGTGCATCCGTCTTCAATCTAAAGGGGTGCCAGCATAAAACAACAGTTCTCAAATTTACGAGTGATATGAAGCCAAATATTCCTCTAGCCAAAGTAAGCAGAAGATATTTTTGCACTGTGCTGAAAACATAGTTTCAGACAGCAGAGATGCAGGTAAGCCTCAAAGTAAAATTTAACATTTTGTGTACAAGCAGAATACATCGCAAAAAAATCACAACATATCCACGGAGTGAAGGATGATAAGTGGGGCGAAGCACCTGTTCGTCCATCCGTTCGCACATGCATCCGTGCACAAGATCGCGTTCGAGAATGTAGACGGCACACGGGTAACACTGACGAGACGCGTGCCAAGGAAGCTGAGCACAAGCGTCTTCAATGCACCCGCCGCTCTGCTTCGTCCATGCCTCACCAACGATCCACCATGTACGGCAACTATCCAGGTGACTGAGGGAGGCACTCATTCTCCGCATACCCAGGCACAGCCCGTGCCGCTGTGCCTGGGCAGCAGCCACTAGGAGAGTAGCGGTACAGCGCCATCTAGAATATCCTCACTCAACTGCAGTTTGTATGTACTTCTATGAGGCAGTGCTGCCTATTATACTGTTTGAGAGATACTGCCTTCTTTTCTTTCTCATCTATTTTTCTTTTGCTTACACGTGACGCATGACAAGGTTAGACTAAGAGGAGCTTCATCCCTAAAAAAATGGTCAGTGAAAAAAGGATTCTTCGTATGAATACTGAAGAACAGTAGTGGATTACAGCCTGTTGGAAATGACACAGGAGTTATAACACTGATGACCAGCACAGCTCTTTTATTATCATTGCCTCAGAGACTGCATGGAGCCTGCACTGTGCTAAGAATCTTGGGGGCTATGGTCTGGAATTCGTTGCGTATCTGCATATCGCAAGGTGCATGCACCAGCCACTGAAGTGATATTCGAAAACTGCCATTACCAACGCCAGACAATTATTGGGCCTGTAAAAAGAAATATGGAATTCTATAGTGTCTTATGCCAAAACCACAATACTGTTGAAGCATGTGATTACGGGACAACCCGGATTGACTTTAACTTCCTGGGGTTCTTTCAACATGCACCTAAATGTAAGCACAACAGGGTTTCTGCATTTTGATCCCATCAAAATGTGGCCCCCTTGGTGGGTAATAGAGCCCACATCCTATAGAATATTGGCACGTCTTAGCTGCCAAGCAACCACATCAAATTTCATTAACCCTGCACTATCGTCAAGATCATAAGGCTACTTGCCACTGATTTATGATCACCTTAGCTTAAGTAAAATTAATTCAAGTTCATTTATAATTTGAACTGCAAAAAAAAAACACAAAGTAAAGAATACTTTGGAAAATATGCTTGTGGCAAATGTGCCTAATATATGCAAGATCCTTTCTTTATTGTCAGTACTTAGCCAAAAAAAATTTCTGCAGAGCTTTAATGCTTTTTTTTTCAGATTTGAAGACAAAAATAAAGAAACATTGATCTACATTCTCTTGCATGGAAAATGTCTACTGCTTTCACATGTCCAAATGACTCATTCAATTGACCAACTTCTTTATATTTCAGCTATAAACATAGGAAATAAAAGCTTATAACATTAACATTAAGCCATCTTTTAATCAGACAACTGAGTAAAATACCACTTGAACATAACATAAGGTATTTAATATCAGGAGAAATTTTACATAGACTTCTATAGTGTAGTACAACACCATACTGCACATGCACCACGTGCATTATAAAATACCTTCCTTCCAATTAATATTTTTTTTTATGGTCAAACAAGTGCATTTGAGCCACTCTTATATATATAGTAGCTACACCAGTAAAGAAAAAACATAGCAGTTATCTTTGCTCAGACACATTAAACAAATAGGGCTTGCCTCACAGGGTCGCTACAAGGTACAGTGCTTTTCTAATGTTCCCAGGCCACTATCCCATGTATTGCTGTGGCAGCGTGGCCTGGGAACTTTTGAATCCCCTTCCCCTGTACATTCAGAAGATTCAATTATCACCTGCTTAGCTTCAAATGCAGCCAGCTTGGATTCGGCTTGGCTCAGGGCTTCCTTCAAGTTCTGCACCTCACTTTTGTACTGCACCATGAGCTCTCGCGTTCCATCATCCTGCACAAAAAAAAAAAAAAGTGTTAAAGTTACATAGGGTGACGCTTAGCAACAAAGTTACATCTAAGTCTCGTATAGGCTTTTAACACCATAACACTAGAGTACAATCTCAGCCCACTTGCTCCTGCCTGCTGTGTAGTTTGCTGAAGGCAGATTGAATGAGTTTTGGCAGTCTTTGAAGTGTAGTGCCATCATCACCATCGTCATTTTTTCCATCACCGCGCCGCGTCTCTCGCACAGCTGGCGCGAGCTCGAGCTGCGCGAGAAGGAGAACGAGCTGACACGCCTGGCGTGGCGGACGCTGGTAGCCGACGTGGCTCCGCTTCAGGCCTGCAATAAAGTCGCGAGATCGGCACGGCCCCATCGGCCGCCTTCGACGTCATCTCCGTCGTCTCTTCTCTCACCGCTACATTGGTGACCCGGAGAACACGCCCTTCGCCGAGCGGCCCGCGGCCATGTTCCCGCAACTCTGCCCGCCAGTGCCGCCGTACCAATCGACTTACCCCAAAGTGTGGTTCATGCAGCTCGATGCCGTTCTGGCGCTGAATGGCGTCACGGACCAGCTGCAGATGCACGCCATTCTTCTCGACGCCCTCCCGGTAGAGTTGCGCCATCTCGCTGCCACTTCAAGCACCAGCCCGCAGCCTTACGATGCCCTCTGCACTGCGGTGCTCGCCCGCAGCGGCAACACATACCGTCCGCTTCCGTTTACCCGCACCAGGCAGGTTTCCCCGGCGTCGCAGAGCAAGGTACGCACGCAAGCGCACGCAGAGCAAGCGACGGCACGTGACACCGTGGCCCTCGCCGTTTCCCGCGACCACCAGCTCAGACGTCTCGGCCTCCTCCTCGCCGCAGCTGCTGGTCAGCTCCTCGACGGTGCCCCCTGCCGCTCCGCCACCTGCCACTGGTGCCAGCAATGGCCTGCCGGGTGCCTCGCCACATTCCACTCGCACCTCCCCGGCCAGCAGCCGACCACCCTCGGTGTCCCCGCTCCCCGCCCCTGTCCCTGTCTCTGTTTCGTGGTCTATGACGGGCCCCAGCGCCGTGTCTTCGCGGAGCCAGAGCCTGCCCTCATCGTCGGCGTCGACACCGGCAACCACCAAAGCAACTGCTACCGTCGCCCCTCTGCCCGTGGCGCCGCAGCAGGCACCTGCGTCGAGACCCGGTGTCGCACAGGTGGTTTCGGCCAGCCCCAACTCTCGCACCTCTGGTGCCCGCCGGCTCATCCAGCCGAAACAGCCACAGATCCTGCCCAAGCTGTCGAGCGGCAGCGCGAACATGACGACGCCTTCGGCAGCGGCGACCACCCGATCCCAGTCTCCCCGGGCGGCCCAGCACAAGGCCACAACGCGGCCCACGCCTGTACCGGCGCCGCACCCTGCGACCACGGTGCAGCACGGAGCCGCGATGGGGCTCAACACGGGGAGTCCGCTGCTCATCGGGAACCCCGCGGCAGCGCAGCCGGGCATGTTTCCGGCTGGACCTGCGCACGGCACTTTCCTGCTAAACCAGGACATTCCGGCCCTGGGCCACAGCCCGATTCTGATACAAGGCGCACTGGGGCAGACCCAGAGCTCTCTGGGACAGATAAAGGGGGTCCAGCTGGCCCTGCGGCCACCCCATGCCACGGGCCTGACCCTGGGACCTCAGACGGGGCCCAGGCCCCATGGGGAACATCCAGGACCGCCTGGCACCCCAACGCTTGTCATTCCACAGAACCTGGGGCCAAGGCCTGTCCGACCAGGTCACCGTGAGACCCGCTTGTTGGCCAGCACAGCGACCCGGCACTTCCTCCTGCGTCCTCTGCGCAACTCCCAGTGTCGCCCGCCAGAGACCGCTGCCTACTGATGGCCCTTACACGTTGAAAAACTGGACTTGCCAAAGGAACACTTTATGGACTGCCGTTCATGTACATAGCATTTGTCGCCCTCTTTCTTTTTTTCATATGCGTTCAAATCGCGCAAAGCGCTAGGGGGGGAGCCCTGTAGTGCCATCATCACCATCGTCATTTTTTCCATCACCGCGCCGCGTCTCTCGCGCAGCTGGCGCGACCTCGAGCTGCGCGAGAAGGAGAACGAGCTGACACGCCTGGCGTGGCGGACGCTGGTAGCCGACGTGGCTCCGCTTCAGGCCTGCAATAAAGTGGCGAGATCGGCACGGCCCCATCGGCCGCCTTCGACGTCATCTCACGTCTCTCCTTCTCTCGCCGCTACAGAAGCAAAGTTGGGAACTCCCTGCTGTGTGAAAGGCAATAATATTCAGCTCGCTTGCTCACAGCAGTCTCAACTACTGACTGACAGCATTTTCTTAATGCATTCAAAACTTGCTTCAGTACCCCTTCAATGAAAACCTTGCACTAATCTCACCTCCACTTCCTGTGGCTACACTGACCATGCGTTAAGTTCAATCAATTTCAGCAGAAAAGGGCTATGGTCTTTCAAATAACAGCCCTCACTATCACTATTGCTTCATTGTCAGAAGAAACTTTTTATTAAGAAAATTTAGCAATTACTTAGCCCTGCGAGCCAACAATAGCTGACTACAATCACTGAATTCACACATAGTGGACCTGAAGCTGCTGTTGACAATTGTATTTCATTCATGTGAACTACCCCTGAACATAATCGGTGCTTGATGTAGCAAAGTCGCATTTGAGAAAAAAAATGCCCTTGTTATATCAGATATGCATTTTTAACATAATCATATACTATCCATTACCTGCTGGTATTGGCAAGAACATTATAGATTTGCTTGGTTACATCAGAGTTTGTCATAATTGCATTCACCATACTCAGGTTTCACTGCAAAATCTTTCTGTAATCAGCAAGTGTTTTGTCTATTACTGCAACCATATTATCAATCAATCTTTATTTTACAACATTTTTTTTCCCAACAAGTTGGGGGGTCACTCAGGCAAAAAGCAGTTATAAAGCCACTACAGAAAGCCCGGGGGACCCTGTACATGGCAGTAGCTTTGGAATTGAAGCTTTTCACAAACAAAGTGCTACAGCGAAAGCATATAATCAACCAGACTAACTTCATTTCCTTTCGATGCTAGTTCACAGGAAGAATCAAAAAGCCAGAACACTGCCCACAGGAACCCACCTGGGCACTGCATTGAAGTTTGGCTGCCTCCAGCTGATCCTTGTACTCCTGCAGCTGCCTCTCAAGGTGAGAAACTTTCTCCGCTTGTGCAGTAGCTGCCGTCTGTGCAGAGAAGGCACCACCAGGGCTGATCACTACTCCAGCACAAGGGCACAACACCACAGCCGCCAACATGTCACTGTGAAGCACATGCTTATGTACCATGCACGACACACACTTGAGATTGAGTTAGCTATCTCGCTGTTAACTTAACTCCCTTGTACAAGATATGTGCTAACAGCTTGCAGTGAAGTGTCATTGTAGCCTCCACAAAACCAACAAGCAATATGCTGACACTGTTCAAGTACACTGTTCAAGACACTGTTCAAGTACATGTTCAAGTAACACAGGTCACACTTTATTTGTCACTGTGACCTAAACAAAGCTACGGTCATTCATTCATTCATTTGTTCATTTATATTTATGGCTCATCATTAGAGCTAACTGGCAAAGCAGATGGCTCCATAATCAGTTCCTTGTAATATAAGTAAGCACAGCATCAAATTACTCACGTCATTGTCTGAATGCAAAATTTCCTGTTCTTCCAGGCGGAACTGCAGGTCTTCCACTTTCCTGTAAAATAATTGGACAAAAAGGAGGCAATTAACAGTTAATGCCCTGGCGTGGCTTAGCATGTAAAAGAAAAAGCTTCAAAAATTGTTGTCTTCTAACTCTACTACAAAGATTTTTTTTTTCCGTGTCTCATATCTGAAGCCACAAGGTCAAGACTACTTCATAATTCTACACCGACTCAGCTAGGAGTCGAGAAAAACATCTCCGATTTTTCGCACTTTCAACACCGTAGATCGCACCAATTGTAGCAAGTGGCAATCATTAAAACTACTAGGTTGTACCGCACATTGAAAACCAAAGTGACCAAGGAGTTGTGTGTCTCTGGAAGCTGACATGGTAAAACAGCCCATTAAATGTTTACCGGCTCCACGTAAAGGGCCTTGAGATGGTTCCAAGAAAGCTTGTGGAACAACACCAATACCAGCATCCCCATACAGTGATTTTTGGTCAAAACTACAATAATACTTCTCATGTTTACATGCTGTTGCAATTTCTCAAGAATGTATTAGGCTTTACAAATATTTTTAATATATGTTACTGTTAGAAGCAACTTCTTCTAATCAAGGGAGTGAAGCATCAACACGGACAGAGCTCTGCAAATCAACAACCACTTCACAGAAGCTGTCGCAAGCATGCTTCAAGCTTTAATGACACAACGGCTGTCGGAAGAAGCTGTCGTAATTTCAAAGCCAATTGAGTGGGCTTGACAAATGTGGCATGCCGAGTCTCACCAAAGCCCTGCTGCTATTGGCATCACCTCATGGTGTTACAGGAGAGTGAAACGTCCCATCAGCAAATGTAAAAGCTTGAGTGGACCTCAACTCTCATTTCTCTTGTATGCACTTCCCAGCAGGTAACTTGATTTTCTGTGTACTATTAATTCTCGTAGTACAATGTCATTAGGTCTCTCACCTTTGGAGGTCTGAGTTTAGCGCATTGAGTCGTGCTCGCTCCTGCTCATGCTCCTCCAAGAGCTGGTGGAGAGACGCAGCTCGCTTCTCCATCTCCTCAACGTAGCACTGGTGTTCCGTGCGGAGAGCTGCCAACTGCTGCTCCGACTGCATCGAGCCATTACAAAAGTGAAGAAGAGACATTAGGAACCTCACACTTTAACTATATATGGAAATGTGACCAGAGAATCAATCCTGAAAGATCAGTTTGAATGTTCCCACGCATTTCCTTTGACAGAACATAAGAATACAAAAGATGTATAGATGAGGGTGGTCATACCAGTGCCTATTTTTGCAATGCAGTGTTCAACCTTATGTCTAAAATGTCTGTTTTTCAGAGCTTCTCCCAGAAGGCTACAAACTTCTCTAACGATGTTTCAACAAGAAAACAGCCGGAATCATGGTACAGGCAATGGCGCAATTCTGCACATTGCAGTTCAATTTGAAATTGCAAGAAATCGAAAAGGTTGCTGCTTCTCTGATATTCCTGCATTCCGTAACCATCTGCATGCATATGTGCTGGCTAAAAGTATCATTTCTAACCTGTATGGTTGCTAACTGTATACATACTAGTAGTTGCTCATTCAACCTGCCACACTGGTAGTTTCAGAAGTGCTACAGTTACCTCTTCAACTTGTACAGCTGCCCTGGCCACCTCTGCCCTTTCGAGGTCACGCTCCTTAAGCAGTTGCTCCACATGTTCTTCCTTTTCTTTCAGAGCCACCTAGAAAGAATGGCAGGAGGTCAGGCATTGTTACTCAGTTCCCAACTTAATCCACTGAGGCAATGCTTGCATAATCTCCATTTGAGGACTAGAGAGATATTTCTGCCAATGCGGTCAGCCCGAAAATGTGCTCGCTGCAAATAAGGTAGTCAGAAACGCTCGGGAGTTACAGCACTGCGTACACAGCATCAGCAAGAGTATTGCGTATGCAAGAGCACCACATTTTATTCAGTGCACATACACAGTAGATGTGGGCAAGTGCATTCTGCAAAGCGTGGCGTTCTTCTGCATGCAGCGCTGTTACAGATGCATCGTATGCAGTACTAAAACCCACCAGCAACATGGAAGCGTGGTTCAATGTTGCAAAATGCATGAAGTACAGCTCTAAAGCGCTATTTCTAAAAATTTACCGAGACTGTTGTCCTCGAGTGTAGTTTTTCAAGAGCTTCAACTGCCAATGTGAAGTTTTTTAAATAAATGTGCAAGAGTGTAGCCTTGGTGATTTTATAATGTAAATCCAGTTGAGCACACAACCCTGCCTGGAAAATTCGTTATCCTTTCATGTGACTCAGAAAAAGAGCCATACTTTGTTTTTGTTTTTTAATCATTCAGATGTACAGCTGTGCTGTGCAAGAAGATGGGCTGTTGCACCAATCTACACCCTTGCAGCTTCGTGCGACACATGATGACTTGTAATCAATGGATGAGTGAGTGCAATGCAGTTGCACATTGTTGCGCATTTGCCATGCAAGACAAAACAAACAGGGCCAGGCACAAACGCATTTTATTTTATTTAAAACGTACAAAAGCGGTTAAAAAAAGAGCCATATAATGTTTACATATTGAGCATCGCATATACAAAAATCTAGTCGCACAGCGAATGTGAACATTGCTTTATGAGAAATATGTTATCATACAATGTTAGCACACATTAAAAAGAGCACAGCCGTAAGTGCTGCAAAATTATAGGAGTTATGAGAGTAAGTATATACTAGCTGGTATTATTGATCAACCATCCGACAAGGAGAGTTGGCACATCACAAATTGAAAATTTGGACAGTCATGTCCAGCTGGCAGTTTCCTCATTTGAAAAATTTTTAAATAACTCTAAGCTTGCAGGGTGTCACGAGTACTGAACAGTCGTCTGCGTAACCATCGATGGCAGCCACGATTTTCGAACTGTGCGTGTGTACAAGTACTTGATTTTCAATACCAGGACGGGGTCGATCGTCTGCAAGAAAGCACCCAAAAGGGGTCAGGGATGAGGTTAGACAGCCATTTCATGCCACTATATGTTGTGTAAGGCAGGAATACAGCACCTCAGAAGCAAGCAATAAACTATCTACAAGCTGCATTGCCGTAAGAACGACACGCAGCCTTGAAATAGTGTCTTGAAACATTGTGAGCCAACAACTTGTTCCAGTGTCTACTACAAACTTTTATTGAAAACTGCACAGACTAGATGCTCTGCTTTCTTTGAAGAGGCTTGCAGGTCGATGTGACAGAAAGGATTTGTTTTATTTGAGAGACAGGAAGAGAGTGAGAAGAGGAAGATAAAAAAGTAGCGTCGCAATTTCGGCAGAAGCCAGGACAGCCGTTTGGGTACAGTCGAGCTCCAGCCAAGCGTAGATCTTGCGCATCATAAAACCATCCGTCGTATGGGCCTCAGAAGGTCGTCAAGCGGCGGCGTCACGTCCTGAAGCGAAAGTGTTCTTGGGGCAACAGGTCGTTTTGCGAGGCTTCAAACACTCAACCTTCTCTTGCGAGCGTAATCTCGAGGACGGGTGGGGAAAGAGTACAAGCAGAACCAACACAGTCACACGTGTACAGTGATAATGAGATGAAACACACCCTTTTAGGCATACTTCATAACTAATGCGCATACTTTCATTTCCACAACCTGCAGTCCCTGTTAAATTAATGTAGTTTTCATTCTCAAGCTCGAATAAAGGTTCTGCCACCTGTAGGTAACTGATCCATAGCAGCTTGAAGTCATGTGCTTCAGTATATGTGCTTATTCAATCTTCTACTTTAATGATTTCCTGCTGTGTTTAACCTCATGACCACTGCATATGCATACAACAGCATTCATACGGACACACACATATTACCAATGAGCATAATGGTCACAAATGACATCAGCATGGAAAATTTTTTCACTTTTCACAACTTCACATTGGCAGCTGCATTTAGGCAAGAATGATAGCACTGAACCTCATAAGCATTGTGAAATGCCATCGGGATACCTGTCCATGTTATCCCAATAAGCAACGCACCTGTAGGGAGTTCTGTGACGCTACCATGGGTGAGGCGAGTGGCTTAGTAGACTTCTGGAAATGGGGGAAAAAAAATGAAGACTTCATATTAGGCAGTTTACTTACAATACGTGACATTCATAAAAATTGGGTCATTGGTTACAGAGTTAAAACTACACCTACATTATTAAAACAACACTTACTGCTGTGTAGTACAAGGTGGCAAGCAAATGTTCAGTGAAAAAATTAAAACAAGTATCTCTTCAAAACTAATATTAAATGCTTAATAGCAAGCACACTCATTAAATAGCATGTATTACAAACAATACAAAAGAAATGATTACTGCTCTATGTGATTATATATTTGCCAACATAAGTACCGGAGATTTCCGAGAAGTAATACTTCAGGGTACTTTAAGCATTACCAATGGATTTAAGATTCATGTGTAAGAAGTAACAGGCGAATGTCGTCAACATAGCGCTTAAGAGCTCACATACAGCTGCATAAGATGAAAAGAAAAAAGCAGAAGGATGGTGAAAGGAAGCTGGTAGCAAGTTTGGTTACTAGAGGAGTTGCATCAATCAGTCTGCTCGACACAAAGTCTGCTAAGCTGCCGAAAGCACTGGGAGGCCGGGCCGGCCAGCAAATGGCATCCATCTTACCGTTCACCCCATCGCAGTCATCACCTCTGTTCACACGCTGCGGCCATGGCAGGTGTCTGTGGGGAGTTACTCCCAGATGAGGTAAGGATTCAGCAAAGGGATGGGGCAGTGAGTAACCACTACTCTGACATTTTAGGGGAAGGAGTCGATCAGCACAGGTGGGAAGAGAAGTACACAAGAGTGAGTAAAACACAGGGTGGCTTGCAAGAGACTGCTGCTTTTTTTAGCTCCCCCGTCTCAGCTTCTATTCCAAATGTTGCGTAAGAAGGCGAATTAAGCCGAGCCTAGTGCGAATGCTGTTCTCACAGGGCAGATATCTCGTTTCACCATTGTAATGCTATGTCGAAACAGACGTCTCTTGCTTTTTGCAGAAAGAAAAAGCTTGCTATGATATGCAACTACGACAGCCCACATACTTCGAAAAGTGGGCACTACAGAAGAACTGAAATGCAATATTTAATCTATTGCTTCCTTAGTGACAGCAAGGATAATAACCACAAAACAGTGAAGAGCCCTTAAGTGAAGTAACATCCAATTTGTAACGTATGATTGATCGGTGCGCAATAGAAAGCATACTTGTGCAGATCCTGTGATGTGTACCCCGTCATGTCAAGGCATGCCTGCTAGCACTGCACTGAAGAAACAGCCTAGTTTGTAACTCTTTTAATTTACACCTGACATCGACACAGCGGGGCATTAATTAACTACAGGTCGAAAGGTGTCCCACGAGAGGAGACAGGCAGGAAGCCGAGACAGGGGAACAAAAAAGGCACAACAGAGATCAAGAGGTGAGAATGGTGAGTAGGAGGGGAGGCTGCAGGGGAGGATTACCTTGGCAGGGGAGGTTAGTGCAGCGACGCCCAGCCTTACCCCGGCTCTGGCGGAGGCCGAGCTCAGGGAGCTGCGCAGAGATTCTTGGCTACCTGCACGCCGAGGCTGCGAGGTGATGCGCGTCGTGCGCGTGGTCGTTGTCGTAGTGGTCGAGGTGTGGCCACCTTCGCGGGCCACCTTGTGCAAGGGCGCAAACAGGCCGTGCCGCGGCAGGCACCTGAAGTACCTGGGATAGCAACGTTGGGGAAGCATAACATTGCATCGTATGGTGATTAACCTAAGATTTATCTCCCATCGTGTCACTTGGACTAACCTCAGACTGGAGAGAGGGTTAAACAGCTGCAACAATGTTGCAATGTAAAGTGGCACCTCATATGAGTTGCAACAGGGTGGCCATGATTGAAGCCCCCAAGCTTATATTGTAACACCTGATAATGCAAAAGTGGGTTTGCAAATACAAGCAGTTGAAACAGTGCTTCCATCACTGATTGTTTTTTATGTTTGTACCAATGTGCAACGTTAGCACCACCTAGTGCACCCTGTTGCAGCTAATATTGGCACGATTGTATGGGCATGATAATGGCAAGTCAGAAGCATGTCTTTTACAATAATGTTTCCATTGGCTTTGAGTGCATATAACACTGTGAGCACACCGTCTAAATAATTAGCTGAAGCTCTACTCTGCCTTGATGTTTGCCGAAAGTTCAGGAAGCTCAATGCAATAAAGGTGCCTGTGAGAGAATCACACCACAAACTGCATCTTTAAAGTCTGTCACAAAGTAGCAACGTTAATTGCAAGTTGCCACCTAGAAGGCTCATAACTTGCCTTGATGTGGTAGGTGCTTAAGCCAAATATTACTTACAAATGCATCATAAACCTAGAAAAAAATTAAAATGCACAGTAGGCACAGCCAAAGGACGCACTTCTTTCCAGCGACGGATCCGTCATTCTTGCCAACGGGGTCATCCAGCTCGACGCCAGCCCACTGCCCAGTGGCGAACTCCGTCGGTCCGATGAAGCGCAGAGTGCCGGCCTTCATGCCCGAAGAGGCGTTCACTATGACGCGGTCGCCAACCCGCAGACCACAGTCGGTCGTCGTGGTCGACGTGTGCATGGTGATCGCCCGAGGTGAAGACCGGGTGCTTCCCGTGGGGGAGCTCACTCTTGTGGTAGTCACCTGTGTGCCCAATCCAGCTGAGGTAAGCTTTATTTTACCTATAGAAAGGCTTAATGTCTAAAAACGCCAGCAATAACTAATCTAAGCGATTAAAGTAACGCTACTAAAAATAACATATCTGCACTTAATGGGGCCACGGCATGGCCACCCAATAAAATATGTTTTCAGCAAAAACTAGAGGTAGAGGTTCTATTATACCTATACATGTCTGAAAAGTGGGCCACAAAAGATATTTTGAAGCAAAACAAACCTAAGAAGTGGCCGGCTGTAAACCCCACCAACCAACAGCGACTGCAATTTTTCCACGGCACGTGCGGTGTCACGAGCTAGAAGGAGCAGAGCCGTCGCCTTCTACCGAAGCTACGGCTGTTGCTAATCCTTCAATTTCAGTGCCAAGCTGAAGGAAGCTAAAACATCTCGACTTGACGTGCAGCTTACCATGGAACAATATCACTTGCCGGACTTCAGCCGCTCACTTAACCAACTGCTTCTTACGTCATCGCTCGCGAGTGCGCCAGCGTAGCCAGACTCGCAAGTGGCTTGTGCCCTCATCATATTATGCAATTCTTAATTGAGTGATTGGCCAAATGCACGAGAGCTCTGCCAGCTTATTTGTGAATGCGAAAGGACTAACCCACGTAACACAGATCATGATCGAAAGTTTGGTGTCATAACTCCTTTAATGATGATACACGGTGTTGCAAAATGAATTCATTTGACATATATGTTGCCTTAATGGAACCTGCCAAGATGTAGTAGTCAATGAAGCTGGTAAGACTACTTCAGTAAACGACTCGGGTTGCAGTATCCTTAACCTAAACCTCCTCAGCACCCAGATATTTCTCATAGTTTCAACACGTAGAAGCAAATATAACGTAATGTTCCTGCTTAGTGCCTCTACACGGGGATTTTATGCATTTGTGCCTATAGAAATGTGGCAACCGTGGCTTAGAATTAATTGCACCCGTGCCGTCAGTCTCGGCGATGCGATACTACGTTCACTAAGTCAGGCTGCTAATTAGTAATGTACAATTTGCCAGAAAGGTGGAAAACAATTTACAATGAAAAAGCTGAGAAATAAGTGAGGCCAACGCTGTTGCATTTCGAGTTGTGCCTGACTGCCGTGCTACACCATTTCTTAAAAATTGAAAACGAAAAAGATGCTATTTTCTCTTTTCTGCACGAGAGAACTTCTCCTGCTGGATATGTAGAAGAGGCAATATATTTTACAATTCTGAACGCTCAAGTGAGAAAAAAAAATGTCCCTACAGAAAGAAAGCTATATATATATATATATATATATATATATATATATATATATATATATATATATATATATATATTATATATATATATATGAGATCTAACAGACGGTAATGCCAAGGAATGTACAGGGGAAGTTATTAGAACCAATAAAATGTAAATAAGAAAGAAAAGTGGGTGAAAGAACAACCAGCCGTGAGCAGGACTCGGGTTCGGTTCCTGCTCACGGCTGGTTATTCTTTCACCCACTTTTCTTTCTTCTTATTTACATTCCATTGGTTCTAATAACTTCCCCTGTACATTCCTTGGCATTACTGCCTGTTAGATATCATTATTATTGTGTCAAACACGGAAAAACGAGCCCTTAGGTATACACTTCTTTCCCCTATATATATATATATATATATATATATATATATATATATATATATATATATATATATATATATATATATATATATATATATTATGTTCAAGTTTTGCTCGAACTAAAGTGCAGTGCTCCGATGACTTAAATGCAAAGTTTAAAATCACGTGCTCTCACATTCCCTTGCAATGTCACCGCGCACTCTCACGGCACATGACCATTTCCCAGCACGGCGCTTTTATCCGCTTCCCCGCACGCACACGTGCGCGCGGTGAAGACAGCTTTACAGGCGTAACAAAAGCATGAGAAAAGGCAACGGGACCTGCGTCTTTCCGGGTCCCACGAGCGTGGAGGTGGTGTTGGTTCCGTTGGCGCCGGGTCCCGGAAAGCGCGACAGGCGCTCGGGCCTGGCGAACACCCCGCGCCGCGGCTCGCACTGGAAGTAGCGGACGCCGTTGACCGAGCCGTCGTTCTTGCCCACGGGCTCGTCCAGCACCACGCCCGCCCAGTCGCCCGCGGCGAACTGCGTCTCGCCCAGGAACTGGATGTAGCCCGGACGGGTGCCGTTCACCCACACCCGGTCGCCCACGATGAAGTCGTCCGCCGAACCGTGGTTGAACGGGCCGCCCGTCTCTGCGGAAGCACAAGAGCGGCAGCAGCCACGTCTCACAAAAGTGTGCAGTGAATGGCTACGCGAGGGCCGTTCGCTTCTATGTTATGCACAGCGAGGATGCGCTGCACAGATCTAAGAGGACACGAAAGCGAAAAAAAAAACACCGAAACTAAGGTAATCCCATCGCATGGAAAGACTTTAAGGTACACCTCGTGCACACGTGACCACGCCTCGTGAAAGTCCTGGTACGACTACGCTGCACAACTTCGCATTGATGGCTACACAATGTCAAGTGCTATACTGGTGCAGTAAACTGTATCAGAGTAAAAGCTTCATACCACAGAAGAACAAAACATGGCGCCCGTATAACGAAACTATCTCTTCTTTGCATACCTTATTCCGTTCGCGACCGGCGTTTTCTGACGGTGCGAAAGTACGTGAAACGCCCTCACGGATCACTGGCGAGGCGAGAGATTAAAGACACGCATATGTATTTAAAATAGAACTTACATTATCCCGAACATAATTAAAGAGAAAGGCGCGGGACGCATGCTAACAATAATGCCGTTTTCCTACCCCATCTGATTCCTGCTGCAGTGTGCAACTATCTTCACGTATCATCTAAGACATGTGCACCCCAAATATCCGACCTCCTAGTCTAACTTCTCGCCTGTTAAACCACAGTGTCATAGTGGCAATCCTCAATCAATACTCCAATCCCAGTATCGAGCTATTAAAAGAACAACCCAAAGATCGTTGGCACAAGACTGTCGACACGAACGTTAAACCAAAGCAACAACAACTTCTGCAACAGCGGCGCTTTCAAAACCCGCGCTGCACTGACTTTTTTTTTTTTTATGTGGTCGGTACTGCATTAAAAACAGTATGCAATGATATACAGGAAGCTTCTTCTAGCCGAGAGGCTCCGACGAATCTTACCAGCAGCTGCAACAAATCTAACCGCAAGTCGACCCATTCGCAAACGGTGCAACCGGGGCGACAGTGGCAGCAGTTTACACGCGATCTCCAGGGAAGGGTGTTATCGTGGTAAAATATAACCGGCTCATGCATTTCAGGGAACGCGAGAGTCCCGTTCTCGAGTACAACATCTGACGGGCGAACATCGACGGTGCAGGTCTCCGGGATGCACATTCTTGGCCACGATGCTGGCAACACATTTTGCGAGCCACGTACAACGGGTATTCCCGAAAAAAGTTTCGGCGTCTTGAAGATATGAGAGGGAGCTCACGTCTCCTTTCATTCCCACAGGAGTGTCCTGACATATTCCAAATAACACTGCACCCGTAAACGTGCCGGTTGAAGGCTTGAAGTGCCTGCGCCATTAGACGATGGGAGAACAAACACTTGCCGGATAAGAAAAAGAAAATAGATGCCGCAGGATTGCTCTGTTCAACGCTGTGCAGCCGATTCAAGCAATCGAATAAAACAAGAAAAAGAAGAAGACGCGGTCGAGCTAAACCCATTGTCGGTTTCCGCAAGGGAACATTCCAGAACGTACCGAAGGTTTCCAAGATGCAAAAAACTTCAGAACAGAGTTCAATGTCGGGACTACGTCCCTTTTCGACACCGACCATGTCGAAAGACAACGCCGAGCGAACGTATACAAGCAAGTTTCCGAGACGCTACGTTAACCACACGAAAAAGAAGAAGCAGGAGGGAAACGAGACCAGAATGTTCCACAAGTAAAGACACTGCCGTACGTGAACCTCAACGTGATTCTCACGGTGAACTGGACAGGTCAGAGACGAGGGATGGAGGAGACAGAAAAACGGGAGAGTTACGGCAAAGGTAAGACCGAAAAAATCAATACAACACCGGACTTGCTCGGTTGTAACTGTCCGGTTGCGTACGGTGAACGCCGACATCTGTGGACTCGCATCGTTTGTTCTCTTTCCTCCTTGCTTCATTTATCCCTTTTAACCCCCACCCTCTCTGTTGAGTAGAAAGCCGGGTACAATATGGGTAACACCCCTGTCTTTCCTTTGAGTTCTCTCTATCTCTTTGTACAATCTGCAGTAGCGTCGACGATACTGGTCCACGAAAGAATGACGCGCTTCAAGTCTCAAAATGCGGCTATAAGCACATCTGAGGGCGAAGTACCGATTCTAACTCCAACTCAGCACGTTCACAATAGCTACATATTCAGTTAATACTATTCTTCAGCCGAGCACAGAGTAAAACGCGACCCAGTCGCCAGAGGAGAGAGAAGAGAAAGAATGCGTCTGCTCTGGCACGACGGAACTCAGTCCCTCCGCCTGCGGTGCCGTCGAAGAACAGCGTGACCTTCATCAAGCCGGGCCATCTGTACAGACTCTTCGCGACGACTACATCCTAACGTCACCACCAACCAGCATCATTATTCTTACATTCTTCAGTACGCGCTCTCGACAAGCTCAAGAGTAAAACGAGCCCTTGGAATGAGGTCGTCATCAAGCCTGGGAAGATGCGAATTATGAATTCGTTAATATTCAGTTGAAATACCATGAGGTAAAAAAGCAAAACAGAAGCGATGACTTGTTACTACGTGGTTATTCAAAGCAGTTCCATGCACTTGATATTTTATCGGCAATTAGAACAGCGACATAGCAAGGGAGTGCGAAAGAGTATGTCGCTGCCAGAAAAGACCGATTGAAAATCAATATATAAAGAAATACAAAACAGTCTAGATAGATATGAATCAGAAGAAGCTTCGCACGGAAACGACGCAGCGGGACAGCATGGCGTATACAATAGACAGATGTAGGAGGGCCTTGGGAATTTTTTTCTCGCTCTCTCTCTCTCTCTCTTTTCTAAGGGTACGACGCTCTTCCCACGCGCAGCTTGTTGTTCGGCGGACACGCGGAGCCCGACCACGCAAATTCCCGGCTTGCCCAAAATTGGCTGCCATCGAAGGAAGGCTGGGAAGGGTGTGCTGGTGCCCATGACCAAACTAAGAAGCGCGGCGTAACTGAAACTAATTAGCGCACACGGGAACTGCGCAGACTACCAATTCTGGAACGCGCAACGACGCTTGGCGACAGCAGTAAACTTTGCAGAAGAGGAGTGGCACGGGTGAAACAGAAAAAAAAAGCCGGAAAACCGCGCAATTCTCGAAAGTGGCGAGGGACGACGAGAGAGGGCGGGGGAGAAGGAAAAGGTACACAGAGCCTTCGCGACACCTTACCCGCCGACGAGCAGAGCCACATCACGAAAAGGGCCCACGACTATCAAAGCCCACGCATCTCTCCAGGGGTCTAATGTTATTCTGCGGCCTACGCAGCGCACACACCAACCGGGCAATTATACGTATACTGCGACGGCAACAATATGGCGAACCCGTACACCACTAATTTTCCTAGGGGCCGCAAAGTGGGGGACGGGGCGATCGGTTCAAAACGCCGACTACGAAACTACGCTGATCCGCACGTTTGAAACGGTCGACAATCCAAATCACACGCCTGCAGGCGCACTATTTCAAAGCAAAGCCAACGAATGTGGTCCAAGACGCAGGGCGCAGCTTCAAAAAAAAAAAAATATCGAATCATGCACGAAGACGCTTGCGCAGTCGCTCTCACGTAACGGTACACATCCCCGCAACGCAGCCAGCACACGGTTATCCACGCGCACACAACGGGGACACAATTTCCGCGGTGCACGGATACATGGCCGGTAAAACGAAACCAACAGAGCAGCTGTGGAGCACGGGACCCAAACCACTGAGCGTGCCGGCAGACGACAAGGAGCAGCAGGCGATCGGGACGGCGATGAGCGACGCACCTCGAAATCCGTACAGCGGGCTCGTCGAAGGCATGGCTTCGTTCGTCTTCTTCTGCCAAGTCAAGCACTGAAGAAACCGTCACCGTCGGCGTCTCGCCTATCGAGTGCGCGAGCACGCGCTACCTCCGCAGCATTTTATATTGACCTTCGCGCGCGGGGCGAGGGAGGGGGCATTAAAACAAAGGGGCGTAAAGAGACGTTTCGAAAACGCTACACGGGGCGGGCTTCCACCGAGCGTAGCCGCCTACGTCGGGCGTCACGTGGTCGCGCCCGAGGCACGACGTCATCGGAGGGGTGCGCGAAGCACGCGGGTCGCTTGCACCATTTTAGGCAACAGAGTGACGCAGGCGTCAACGACAGCGTGCGGAGCGTAAATTCCGTATCGATAATTTTGTGCAGAGGCCCGAGGAACTAGTTCACGATACATCGGCTTACAGGACAACCTCATTAGGCGACGCAAATTTTCATTAAATTCATTGTATTATTTCGTTTATTGTGTCATAGTGAATAAGGTGTGCTGTATGTTATAGGGTCATACAGTGAACAATTATTGCTGGTTAGCATGCAAGCGATCACCAGACCTGGCTGAGCAATCAGGATGGTCCAGCGTTACAAAAGTTAAACTACAGGAGTTATCATGCGAGAATGCTAAGATAGACCCAACGTTCTGCATCCAGGAACGCGGGAAGAAATTGACGATTGTTCGACACTCTACATTTATTCCCGAAACAATAACAATAGGACAAACGCAATTAATCCATTCTCCGCTAAAAGTAGTCCGTGGCACGACAAGGTCAAGAGCGTCGATCGTGTGATATAAAAACGGGGACAAACGGAACGCTCAATGACAGGAAGAATATACCCGCCGAGCGAGGTTCACGTATACACTACTACCACTACACTGCTAAATGCAGAGCCGCTACTTTGATTGAAAGACGGTCGAAGGCTGCTGCATCGAACTAGCGAGGCCCTTGATATGAGAGGAGACACACGCACACACAAGGGAGGCCTTTCTTGTACGTCCAAGGCAGCAGCAGCAGCAGAGGCAACCAGCCGGCATACACGCAAGAGCGCGAGCAAGGAGAGAAGGGGGCAGACACCCGCTGTTGAGGGTGCACCCTTGGATGCGTCCCACGTTTCGAAGCCGCACCGGATTCGAAGGCGGAGGAGAAGGTAAGAGAAGACAGGTTCGCCCAACACCGATGCGAGACGCGCACAAAGCACACGAAAAGGCAAAACCAGC